GCTTTAGGGTTTAGGGGTTTAGGGCGTTTAGGGGCTTAGGGTTTAGGGTTCAGGGCTTAGGGGTTACGGCTTAGGGTTTAGGGTTCAGGGCTTAAGGTTTAGGGTTTAGGGTTCAGGGCTTAGGGCTCAGGGCTTAGGGTTTAGGGTTCAGGGTTTAGGGCTTAAGGTTTAGGGTTTAGGGTTCAGGCTTGTTTTTTGAAACCCCCTGTTCTCCCCAATTCACTCTCGCGGGGTTTAGGGGCTTTGGCTTTAGGGCTCGGGGCAAGGTTTAGTGTTGGTCGATATAGATAGGATATCCGCTTAGGGACATCGATCATGATTGGACGAAAGATAACAGCAACAAGAACAGCAAAGGAAGGATTTGGGTAGTTCTCTAAATTGAATTCTTTTTGGGAGTCCCGTTTATGTAAGGGTGCCGTACTATCTTCGGGACCTCAAAAGAGACACTAATTTTAGAGAACTACCCATCTAGGGGCTCCAGATGATCTAGGACCATCGCGAGGGCTGGAGGGGGAGGGTCTCAAGGGTTCGAACCCAGGCGCGCGCCGGCATGTCAGAGTATCCGATGATGGTCACCCCGTTGGCGGTGGTGTAGACCTCCCGCCGTCCCTACGGTGGATGATACACATCCTGCGTTACCCATAATAAGGAACATAAACCAAAATTCCTACAGTTTAGGGTCCTGATGAGGTAATGAAGGATTTAGATCATCAGCAGTAAACCCTAAACCCTAAGCCCTAACCCTAAGCCCTAAAACCCTAAACGGCCCTACACCCTAAGCCCTAAACTCAAAGCCCTGAACCCTAAACCCAAAGCCCTAAACCCTAAACCATAAACCGTGAGGCCCAAACTCAAAGCCCTGAAGCCTAAACCGTCCCACAGAGACCCTGAATCCCCGTACCTGCATAGAATCCTGCATCAAACTCCGAAGAGCCCGCATGAAACTCGGTCCTTCCTGAACTTCTGGGACTTCCAGGATTCTACAAAGAAGAAGCAGTTGGATATCTCCGGACTTCCGGAACCCAGGGTTTAGGGTTTAGGGTTTCGGGTTTGGGGTTTAGCATTTAGGGGTTTAGGGTTATGAGCTTGGAAACGGTGTGGACCTAGCACACCTAGCATCGTCATCCGAACCCCTGACAGCCAGCCTTTTGGTCCCAAAACACCCTACAGGGCCCAGAAGTCCTGAACCCCAACGCCCCAATCTACACCTTAAACCCTAAACCCTAAACTCCAAAAGCCCTAAACCACTAAAACAAAAAAGTGCTTCGACAAAACGCTAAGAGACTCCAAACCCGTCAAGTAAGGGGTAGTAGAGCCGTAGAGTCCTATGCTGGATCCCAAGTATTTTTAGGGTTTAAGGTTCCTTTTGCAGTAGGACCTGAATAGTACACTTAGAGGATCCCTTTTACGGGTTAGGGTTTTAGGGTTTAGGGTTTAGGGTTTAGGGTTGAGGGTTGAGGGCTTTTAGGGCTTAGGGTTCCGGGATCCCGTAACTAGGCCCTTATGAGTATCCTTAGAAGATCCCTGAAAGGATCCCT